CCCCCAATCCTTCCTCCTTGCCCCCCACAATCCTTCCTCATTGCACATTTCCCCCTAATCCCTCCTCCTTGCACATATCCACCCAATCCTTCCTCCTTGCACATGTCCCACCAATCCTTCCTCCTTGCACATATTTCCCCTAATCACTCCTCCTTTCACATATCCCCCCAAATCCTTCCTCCTTGCACATATTTCCCCTAATCACTCCTCCTTGCACAAATCCTCCCCAACCCCCTTCCTTGCACATTTGCCCCCTAATCCTTTCTCCTTGCACATATCCTTCCCAATTCCTCCTCCTTGCATGTATCCCCCCAATCCTTCCTCCTTGCACATGCCCCCCCCACAATCCCTCCTCCTTGCACATATCCCCCCAATCCTTCTTCCTTGCACGTGTCCCACCAATCCTTCCTCCTTGCATATGTCCCCCCTAGTGCCTCTTCCTTGCACATATCCCCCCAATCTCTCCTCCTTACACATATATCCCCTAATCCCTCCTCCTTGCACATATCCCCCTTAATTCCTCCTCCTTGCATGTATCCCCCCAATCTTTCCTCCTTGCACATGTCCCCCCCAATCCTTCCTCCTTGCACATGCACTCCCAATCCCTCCTCCTCGCATGTGTCCCCCCAATCCCCCCTCCTTGCATGTCCCCCCCCCAATCCATCCTCCTTGCACGTATCCCCCCTAATACCTCCTCCTTGCACGTATCCCCCCTAATTCCTCCTCCTTGCACATATTACCCCTAATCCCTCCTCCTTGCACTATTCCCCCCAACCCCCTTCCTTGCACATTTGCCCCCTAATCCTTCCCCCTTGCACATATTCTTCAGAATTACTCCTCCTTGCACGTATCCCCCCAATCCTTCCTCCTTGCACATGCCCCCCCCCACAATCCTTCCTCATTGCACATGTCCCCCTAATCCCTCCTCCTTGCACATATCCACCCAATCCTTCCTCCTTGCACATGTCCCACCAATCCTTCCTCCTTGCATATACCCCCCCCCCCAATGCCTCTTCCTTGCACATATCCCCCCAATCTCTCCTCCTTGCACATATATTCCCTAATTCCTCCTCCTTGCATGTACCCTCCAATCTTTCCTCCTTGCACATGCCCCCCCCAATCCTTCCTCCTTGCACATGTCCCCCCCAATCCCTCCTCTTTGCATGTGTCCCCCCCAATCCCTCCTCGCACATGTCCCCCCTAATCCATCCTCCTTGCAAGTATCTCCCCTAATCCCTCCTCCTTGCACATATCCCCCCAATCCTTCCTCCTTGCACATGTCCCCCCCCCCAGTCCTTCCTCCTTGAACATGTCCCACCAATCCTTCCTCCTTGCACAAATCCCCCCTAAACCACCCTCCTTGCACATATCCCCCCTAAACCACCCTCCTTGCACATATCCCCCCTAATCCCTCCTCCTTGAACATGTCCTTCCAATCCTTCCTCCTGGCACATCCCCCCCCAATCCTTACTCCTTGCACGTCCCCCCCAATCCTTCCACCTAGCACATATCCCCCCAATCACCCCTCCTTGCACGTATCACCCCCCAATCCCTCCTCCCTGCACATATCACCCCCCCAATCCCTCCTCCTTGCACATATTCCCCTCCAATCCCCCCTCCTAACAAATATCCCTCCCCAGTGCAAATAGTCGCTAATCCCTCCACCTCTAATCGCAAACAAATTATTTTCACACAGCTCCCCCTACACACACACACAGCCCCCCTACACACACACAGCCCCCCTACACACACACAGTCCCCCCTACACATACACACACAGCCTCTCCACACACATACACACATACAGCCTCCCCCCTACAAACACACACTAGTCAGGACTGCGCAGTTTACCTGCTCCCTGCCTCCTCCAAGTCCCAGAAGAAGGAAATGTGTGCAGGGTGCAGGTAATTAAACTGTGTGCAGTCTGAGCCAGCAATCCTGTGTGTGTGATGTGTGGAGGAGCACTGCACTGAGAGGAGGGGAGGTCACAGCACAGCCTCTCTGCTGAACACAGATCACTGCACTTGGCTGTGCACTTATGTCCCAGGCCAGTCCTGAGTGTGGGAATGGGGGATGATACTCGGCCATCAGCTGTCAGCCAGGGGGGCACAATAGAAATTTGGGGGGGGCGCAGCCCACCCCAGCACCTGCCTAGATCCGGCCATGCTCTACTGGCGTGTTGGCAGTGCCAAGCGTCATAAACCTCCTCTTCGTTCAGGAGGCCGCGTAAGGAAAAGGAGCATCCTGTAACTGGGGGGGAGGTATTGAGACCAGGATCAATGGTTGCATTAAAGCGCCCACCAAGCTCCCATATCGCTCCTTTAAAATCTTCATAAAGACTTTCCGGAGAAATTTTAATTGGTGGGAATTGGGAGTGTAACTTGTTAGAAGCCTGGTTATTGATATTGCAGAGCAAAATAATATATTGTCCCTCTGGATCAATGATTGAACGTTTGAGTTCAAAGGATACAGAGTCACTCATGGCAATAAGAACTTGTTTGATCGCAGACGTTGATACCATGAATATACTGTATGTGGATAGTCCCTGTGGTGGCACTGTGGTGTGTTTCCTGTACCGCAATGACTTCCAATTTGTAGTGTGTCACATCTTGCGATAGGAAGCAACATTTAGCCTGGTGGTTGTGGCTTCTTGCATTGATAGAGAACGTCACTATCTCAATCAACATTGACTATTTTGAATCCTTATGATGCTAGTATTAGTAAATAAATAAGTATATCATATTTACTTTTTTTTTTATTTCTAAATTTCTTCAGTTACTTCCTGGTATCCATGCCTAGGCAAATGATGTCATACATCCCAGAAGTCTTCAGGAGGGAAAGAGGGGTTTTCTCAGCTAAGTACACACCAGATGAAATGGTAAACTATATTGTGATTTCTTAATGCTTTTGTGATGGTTGTTAGATATCTACATTGTTAGAGAGTGCATTGAGAGAAATCAAGAAGAACTTGTAGGTTGGCGGCTTGTTCGGTTAGGTTTTCCACTAGACAGCAAGCCTCTAGAAGTTTCTCCTTTACCTGAAAGAAGTGTATTCTCAGCAAAACATCTCAAGAGATTTTAGAGGATACTGTAGATAGGAGGGCTTGGGTACTCTGTGCACTCTGTCAATAGTGAGATCTGCAAATGTCATAGATGGAATCACCACCCGGAAGAGGTCATGGACAAAGTGAGGAAGCTGGTGTGTCTGAACTGACTCTGGGACTCCACGTATCTTAAGGTTGTTCCAATTGTAACCTGGATATCACGTCCTGTTGTGAAGTAGAGTCCACCAGGGTATTAAAGGATGCAGTAATTTTGCATGTCCTGTCCTCCACCTGATGCACCCTCTCTCCCAACTTCTGTACTTCAGCTCTGCATTGTTGCATGCAGGAGATCCTGTCCGCATGTAAAGATGCCTGCAAAGACGTGAGCGTTTCTTTTAGAGTTACATATAAAATAGGCTGACTGGTGGTTGGGAACTGGGTGATAGGAACAGACTGTGATAGCTGGGATGGATTTGCCATATGGGGATCACTAGCTTCAAAATGTGCCAGAGGTTCTTTGTCCTTATGACGCCTGGATTTTACCAGGCTCCAAAGTGCGGGATCGGTAACAGAAATCACATCTGCCAAGGTTGTGTCTTTGTAAGCCGGAGAAGGTGGCACTAGAGGTCTGGCTGCCAGCGGTGTAAGTTGTTTCTCACTGCCATTTTGTTGGAGCCCTCTGCTCATTGTGGGAAAGAAGTCGGACAGTTTCTGCACCTGCGGCAGGTCCTGGCAGTGTTTCCACATACTGATGGGTAGAGCAGGCTTATTGAGCAGTCACCACGCCCCCTGTTGGTTTCTTTTGTATAGCCACTGATCTTATGGCGTGTCGGAGGACATTTTGTTTTGAATTTCTGTTCATATAGTAATTCTGCATATTGACTGGGTTTATGGGACCAAGGTATGTTTATAGTGGCTGTAAATTACTGCACATTCAACTTGGAGGTGGGTTTATTTAGTGATTAAAAATACCCTCCCCCCATTTCCTTTTTCTTCCATTCCTTGTTTTTCCTTTTTTTCCCTATCCTGTAGATGTTTGTATAATCATTTGTGGATCTTTTTAAACCTTCTACTCCTTATTCAGCCTGGTTGAATAATACAGTATTTGTGAGGTAAGTTAGAGATATTTAGCCCCATATTGCTAGTGCTTCAGCTTCCAGCCTGCGTCTTATCTTACATGTCCCCCATGACCCTTCCCATACTGGGCCTCAAATTGTCTCCTTTTGGGGTGTAGTTTGGGGTAGGGTCATTGGTTCCCCTTGGGAAGGGATGGGGGAGAATGCATGGTGTTTTTGGTTTTTCCCCCCTTTTTTCCCCATGTTTTTCTTTCTATCATCCCTTAAGGTTGTTTTGGTGTATTTATTGTAATATATTATGCTTTTGAAATATATGATTTTTTTCTTATCATGTCTGTAATTGAATTCGTATAGCCATATCATCTTTTCTGAACTGGTATGGATCCTGATGAAGCATGAGAAATGAAACGTGTTGATCTTACACATCTCTTAACAATACCTATTTAATATAAGTGGATGCAGATAAAAATATCTTAGCCAGTCTTTACATTGACTGCCAATATGATTGATGCTGATATTAAGCATGGCGTACTGCATTGATTTTATCATGGATTTTTAGCTCTTAGAATAAAGAATCATTATTTTTATAATAGCTACTATTTTGGCACAGTTATTCCTGTTTCCTTCTTGTGAGCGCATAAGGAATATATTATTCTTTTAATTTCACATATAGCCATGGCATGCATGAGAAATATCTCATTAACTAGTTGCCGACCGCAGATAGCCGAATGACGGCTTCACTGCGGCCGGCCAGTTCTGGGTGGACGTCATATGACGTCCCCCCAGAACGCGCTCTCCTGTGCGCCCCAGGGGGCGCGCACCCGGCGATCTCCGTGATCGCTGTGTCCTACGGTGTCCAATGACACGCTGATCACAGGGAAATGCAAATGCCGGTTCTTGGCTGCACTTTCCTCACGCTGTCAGATCGTGAGGAAAGTACTGCCGAGAACCGGCAGTTGTCACAGCGGGGATCGGCACCGATCATCAGGACACTGATGATCAGTGCCCTGATGATCGGTGCCCAGCAGTGCCACCCGCAAGTTCCGCCCACTTGTGCCCAGCAGTGCGCCCACTAGCTCCGCCCACCTGTGCCCAGCAGATCACCCACCTGTGCCCAGCAGTGCACCCACCTGTGCCCAGCAGTGCACCCACCTGTGCCACTCTGCAGTGTCACACACCTGTGCCCAGAAGTGCCACCTACCTGTGCCCAGAAGTGCCACCCACCTGTGCCCACCCACCAGTGCAGCCCAGCAGTGCTGCCAGTCAGTGCCACCAGTCAGTGCCCAGGGGTTGTGCCAGTCAGTGGCGCCAGTCAGTGCCCAGCAGTGATGCCAGTCAGTGCCGTCTATCAGTACCCATCATCAGTGTCACCTATCAGTGCCGCCTATCAGTGCTGCATATTAGTGCCGCCTATCCGTGACACCTCATTAGTGCTGTCTATCAGTGCCGCCTATCCGTGCCGCCTCATTAGTACTGCCTATCAGTGCCCTTTAGTGCTGCCTATCAGTGCCCATCAGTGCCGCCTATCAGTGCCCATCAGTGCTACCTCATCAACGCACATCAGTGAAGGAGAAAAAATACCTGTTTGAAAAATTTTATAATAGAAACAAAGAAAAAATTTTTTTTTTTTTTTCAAATTTTTTGCAATTTTTTTATTTATAGCGCAAAAAGTAAAGCGCCCAGTGGCAATTAAATACCACCAAAAGAAATCTCTATTTGTGAGAAAAAAATGATCAAAATTTCATATGGGTACAATGTTGCATGACCGCACAATTGTCAATCAAAGTGCGGCAGCGCTGAAAGCTGAAAATTGGCTTGGTAAGGAAGGGGGTATAAGTGCCTGGTAGGCAAGTGGTTAAAGTCACAACTTTAAAATCTTCCATGGACTCAATATGCCTCTCAGCAAGTATTTTAAGGTGTCTACTTTTCAAAAAAGGGTCTTTTGGGTGTGTTTGGGGGGGGGGGATGTACTGTCCTTGCATTTTAGGACCTCAAGAAATGTAATAGGCAGTCATAAAGTAAAAGCTGCATACATTCCAGTATATACAGTATACCGTAGTTTGTAGATGCTATAACTTTCACACAAACCAATTAATATACACTTATTGGGATTTTTTTTTACCAAGGACATGCAGCATATACATTTTGGCCTAAATTTTTTAAATTTTATTTTATTGGATTTTTTTTTAAGAAAATACCTTTTTTCAAAATGTTTGTTCTTTTTTCATTTTTATAATAAAAAATAAAAATAATTATGGTGAGCAAATACTACCAAAATAAGCTTTGTTTGTGTGAAGAAAAGATAAAAATGTAATTTGTGTACAGTGATGCATGACTTAGCAATTGACAGTTAAAATAGCACAGTTCTGAATAGCAACAAATGTTCTAATCATGAAGGGAGTAAAACCACCCAGAGGTCAAATGGTTAAGGAAATCTTCTATCTATCTATCTATCTCTATCTATCTATCTATCTATCTATCTAAAATTGTTTCACACCATGCTATAATTTTATTTTTTGACTTAATACCTTTGGTCAAATAACAAACTTCAAACAGTAATTCCTCTATTGACATAGTATAACAAAACATTTTGAATCCATTTTGCCATTTTGCCTTTTTTATACAAAATGAATGAACATTAAGAAGAATTTTTATTTTACAATACAATCTGTCTTACTATTGTCAGAATTAGTGACAACTTCTTGTCTACCTGTCATAATCTGTCCTTTCAACAATGGTGCTGAAAAGCAATTTTCTGCCTCAAAAGCACTCCATTTGAAAACTTTGCTTTGACCAGTTTCCATTTTCAACAGAGCTGCACAAGTGTATACATATGACAAAGGACCCTTTTTTTTTACCTTTTCAAAAACATTTAGCTGAGACTGCATATCTATGCCTAATGAGCAGAGATATTAAAATGCAACCTGTGCTGACACATATCCATTTTATTTAAATAAGTATTTCAACTGAATTATATTTCCATACGCTTTATTTCTTACATATGTTCCACTGATGCTGTTTCTGTGCATTAACATGTCTGCATATGCAGAATTTATCAATGTTACTGTGTAAAATAAACACTGATACTTACATTTTAATATTATTTGTAACTGGGGTGATCTTGTATAATATCTTCCATTAAATTAGTTAGTTTCTGACCTGTAGTTTAGATATTGTTTAGACAGTGTTTTTTTTTTTTTATTACTGTTATCCATTCATTCCTGACGCAACAACAACTGTAACCCCCTTTTCCATGTGTCCTGAACAGCAGGAATGTATCCCTTTTATTTGGGTTGTGGTGCCTTTAAGGGGGATGATAAGAAACATTTTTTAGAACTAACCATTCAAGGTCAGGGGTTCCGGAGTAGTTCACTTGGAAAGGAGGGGACGGATTTACGGTACTCTCTGGATTGGTAAGTCCTCATTTGGGACCCCGGAATTCAGAAGCTCAGAGAGACTTGAGTGGGAAAGCCTCCAAACCCTGATTTGACATCAGGACACTCATACGGAGTATTTGACTTGAAAAAGTGCACAAACATCTTACACATGGGAGTGGAATACAACTTATAAATAAATAAATGCTTTTAATAAGGATAAAGCACTATGTTTTGATTATTTCCTATGGAATTTGAATCAATAGAGGAGGACCACTAGAGAATTGAAGGGAATCCAGATCTTTTAGGATAACAATCCCATCTATATACAGTCCATACAAGGGACACAAGCTCTATATAACCTCACTTAATAGTTTGGTCATGTATATAAGGTGGGAGCACAACCGGTGACGGTGCATGAGTGTTTGGTTTGCTAATACACCAGAGGTGAATAGAGCAGCAGTTGATCTGATTACGCCATTGAAATTGCAGAGAATCATGGATGTGACATGGGCATTGGGTTCATTTTTGGAAGATTTGTATATATATATATTTGTTTGTTTTCAGTGGAGCGTGGCACAATTTTGATATTTAATATTTTTGTTTACTTGTTTTGAAAGTACAATAAAGACTGTTAGTTTTACAAGAGGCTGGCTGGTGATACTGGACTCTCTGTGTTACAACACGCATGATAGTGCCACTAAGCAAGAGAAACTGTCCCCAGTCAGAGTCACCCAATGCATTTTAACTCTTCTTTATTCTATCCAAAACTAAAAAAAATGTCTGTAGTTAGACAGGTAGTAAATCTGAACTTTCTCTTAAGTTTTAAATAAAGTGAAGATGATTTAGAACCTATTTCTTTTTTTTTCTGTTTTTGTCAGTATTGGGGAAATTTACCCTCATTGACTGAAAAAAACGATGCTTGCTTTATTTAGGCTTTTTGCAGAAGCACACTCTAGTCCATTTAACATGGTTTCCTATGGAACATATTCACTTCTATGCTTTTTTGAGCTGCTGCTTTTTTGGAAAAGGTCAGGGACTTTTTTTAAAGCAAAAAGCAGCATTACACAAGAGTTTACCACTAGTATTTGTTGCACCACCTCTGGCTTTTATAAAACAGCTTGAATTCTCTGAGGCATGGATTTAACTATCGACAAACAGTATTCTTCATCAATCTGTCTCCAACTTTCTCTTATTGCAGTTGCCAGATCAGCTTTACAGGTTGGTGCCTTGTCATGGACCCATTTTCTTTCAATTCCACCATAGATTTTCAATTGGATTGAGCTCCAGACTATTTGCAGGTCATGCCACTGATATTATATGTATTTCTTGAAGAAAAGTTTTCACAGCTTTTTCCCTATGGAAAGATGCAATATCATCCTGAAAAATGTCATCATCAACAAACATTCTTTCAATTGATGTCATAAGAAAAGTGTGCAAAATCTCAATATAAACTTGTGCATTTTTTGAAGATTTAATGACTGTCATCTCCCCTGTACCATTACCTCACATGCACCTCACAACATCATCAATGATTGTGGAAATGGACATGTTTTCTTTAGACAGTAGTCTTTATACATTTCATTGGAATGGCACCAAACAATAGTTCTAGCATCATCACCCTGTCCAATGCAGATTTGTGATTCATCACTGAATATCACTTTCATCCAGTCATCCACAGTCCATGATTGCTTTTCTTTAGCCCACTGTAAGCTTGTTGTTTTCTGTTTAAGTGTTAATAATGATTTTCGTTTGGCTTTTCTGTATGTAAATCCAGAATTTCCTTTAGGCAATGTCTTACAGTTAGGTCACAGACATTGACTTCAGTTTCTGTCCATTTGTTCCTCATTTGTTTTTTTGTGCATTTTCTGTTTTCAAGGCATATTGCTTTAATTTTTCTATCTTGACGCTTTGATGTCTTCCTTGGTCTACCAGTATGATTCCCTTTTACAACCTTCCCATTTGATTTATACTTGGTCCAGATTTTAGACACAGCTGACAGGAAAAACCAACATCTTTTGCAACATTCCGTGATGATTTACCTTCTTGAAGAAGTTTTATAATCCTTTCTTTTGTTTCAATTGACATCTCTTGTGTTGGAGCCATGATTCATGTCAATCAGCTTGGTGCACCAGCTCACCAATTTGTGCAAGCTCTCTTTTTGCAGACTACTTAGCAGGTATAATCTGATGCAGATGTTTGCTTTAGAATTGCATAGTACATGGTGATTCCAAAATATTTTCCTCAGAATTTAGTAATGCTATATTTTTTCCTCTTCTTGATCTGCAAAAACAGTTGCAATTGACTACAGTTTTCTTTCTTTTTTATTTTTTTAAGTGTTTCTTAAGCCAGAAGGTTGGAATGTTAAATGAAAATAGTTTTGAGGCATGTTTTTTGTGATTGTTTTTTTTTCTACACAATTAAACAATTGAATTAATATTTTCCAAGAGTGGTGATTCCATACTTTTTTGCCAGGGGTTGTATGAGGATGCGCATGCTCACATTCATGTGCATGTGTATGCAAGCGTGCACATACTGCTGACAAATGGCCCATTTATACTTGAATCCTGCAGTGGTCCTGTGCTGTATTGTCTTCAGCTTTTAACCCCGTGATACAGTCTTGATGTGCATTCGTGATCCTGTTACCGACCCAGTTTCCTCTCTGGAATTGCTCTTGGATTATCCTTACTTGCTCATGTCTGCTGTCTGTCCCAGCCTGGACTACTGACCCCACTTCTGCCTAGTGATTCCATAACTTGCTGTCTGATCGTTGCCAACTAGTGATGGGCCTGATGTTCGAGTTGAACGTAAATTCAACCCCAACATCGGGCCATTCGTGCGTTCACCAAACACATGAA